CCCATCCGTGCAGAGACAGCAGCCAGGGAGAGAAGCTGTAGCTCCCAGCCTCTGAAGACCTCTAAGCCAGCTGAACAACTTCCAGGCCAGATACCTACTCATCACGCATTGTGCATCCCATGGCTGCCAGACGCATGGGAGCATTCGGCAGCATGGTGACACCCAGGGGTGTCACTTTGCGGTTCAGTGCCAGCCCAGGGCTTTGCTCCCCATGGGGCCAGGGACAGCCCTAGGCCTGCCTGTGGCAAGGACCCTCCTTGCTCCCCAGGCCTTTTACCCTCCCTGCAATCCTCTCTGGGCATCCTGAACACTGTCTGGGCACTGAGCAGGCTAAGGCCCCACTTTCAGGGTGGCAGCCTTGGAAGCCCTGGGTTTGAACGTCACCTTTTCCCCTCCTTCCGTTGATCTGAGACTTTATGGTCTGCCCAAGCCTGGATCTCTCCATATGCTGGATCCCTGAAGATCACCAAGTAGCCCACAAACCTGTGCTCTAGGGTCTCCCAGACCCCAAAGCCATGCTCTAGAGTCACCTAGCCCTCGCTTCAGTCCCACCCAGGCTGTTTCTCTGCAGGCAGCTCTGGTCTCCAGGTCTGGGCCAGGGCAACCAGGGGCTGCCAAGGCCCAAGCTCCCGACATGTCAAGCCCTCGTGCTGGCGTCAACTACAGACACTGCTTAGGAGGAGGAAGGAACAGGACTGTGCTGAGCTCGGGAGCTGCGTGAGCTCCATGCCAGTACGTTGGAGCAGAAGCGCCTGGGGCCGTGCAAGCCAAGCGTGCCTCGTCCCAGCCAAGCAGAGAGCGAGGAGGCGGGCAGGCAGCGGCAGGTAAGTGCGACTGACAGACAAGAGCCCGGAGGGACTAGCACGGTGCACGGGGAAGGGGGACCGGCAGGGCTGAAGGGCTGAAGCTCATTTCTGAACGGTTGGCGCAAAGGAGTCAGTGCAGAGGGACAGCGGTGGAGGGACAGAGCTGTTGCGTGGGCAGTGGAAGTATGTCCCGGGCTTGCTGACCCTGCACAATACATGCTGCTGAGCTCCACATCCTAACAGTGGGGATGGCCATCTGGACACACAAGCCTAGGAGGTCCCAGCAGGGCTGAGAAGGGGGTGCATATGTGTGTGGGTGCTGGCAGGGCTTTCCCTCTGCCAGGTAACTCCCTAGCATGGCCAGTGCCTTGCTGGGCCTTTGCCCCCATCCTGCCTCTGTGCTGCACAGAGAGGTCTTAGCATCTCCAGCAGTGACACAAGCTACCACAGAGGATGACGGAGGTTTGGTGAGCTGGCGCCTGCCTCCTCCACTGCCCTGCCTCAAGCTCCCATACATTTGCCTGTGCCAGATGCCTGCCCTGCCCTGTCCCAAAGGTGTCAGTTTTACTGGCCGTGGCTACCCTGGGTGTCAGGAGGACAGCCCAGCCCAGGCCCTGCACACCTACAAGATACCTAACTGCATGTTTATGTGAGCAGAAAGGGTGTTTCTCCCATCTACGTAGGCATCACATGCCCAAGCACTGGCCATGGTGGCCTGACAAGCCACCTGGCTAGCCACCCCCAGCTGAGCCCTCCCACACCTCATCATGCGTCACCCACAGCAAATCCCTTGCAAAAGGTTCACCAGTCAGTGCTGACAGTCTCCAGTGCCAGGGCTGGTGGCAGGCCTGGGGACCTTGTGGCAGTGGGGAATTAGGAGCCCCCCAGACACAGAGCTCCCACCCCACAGTCTCAGCCCAGCTGCCAGTCTCTGAGCTCAGCGGGAAGAGCCTGCCCAAGACTCCAGTGAGGCCAGGACGAGTAACCTGCCCAGCTTGGTGACCACAGCCTGGCCAAGGGGACCGCGCCAGTAGGAAAAATGACAGCAGGCCACCTCTTACCTCCTCATCTGGAGCCACCATTGGTCGAGCAGAAGAGCCAAGGTCAGGAAGGAAGAGATTTGCATCAGGAGCAGGTGGAGAGCAGGAGCAGGAGGGAGGAGAAGCAAGTTTTCCCATCAGTAGCAGCTGAGGTTTTCCAGGGCTCATGTCTGAGCCCCAGCTCTCCTCCTAGTTCCCCGTGTCCCCCCAGGACCACCAGGTCAGCGCTAGCCCAAGGGCCCATCTCTGATGGGACCTGTGTTTTGCACATACACCGGCTGGCAGAGCAGAAAGCAGAAAGTTTGGGGGGCTCCTAGGACTCCCCTTCTCCTCTTACAGTTGGCAACAGGCTGGGAAATGAGTCAGGAGGGCTGGAGGGAGGCAGAGATGGGAGCTGAACAGAGAAGACAGCAATGCTCCGGGGAAGCTCTGGAGAGAGCTGTATTGCTGTTACCACCCCAGGTGTGCTGCTCTCGCTCCATGCACTCAGCAGAATGATTTGTGCCTAAACTACAGCTAAAATTCATCTGCCAGCTCCTGTTTTAATGGGGACAGCACTTGCTGAGACCTGAGCAGGAGGGTCTTGCTGCAACCCCAGTGACTTCCCCATGCTGTGGCTGAGGAAAATGCAGGAGGGACCTGACAATCCTGAGCTTAGTTAAGCAGGAGCAAAATGCTGTGTTTGTGTAGGCCCTACAAAAGCGCCTGCTGCCTGTCAGCCAGGCTTTCTTGAGAACGAAACAGTAATGTGTGGCCCAAGGGATCTCCCACCAGAGGCTTAGCCCACATCTGGATGAGGGAGAGCCTCACCTTTCAGACACCAAAGGATGTCAGGGTGCTGCTCGTCGGCTACGTCTGGAACAGAAAGGCAAGAGAATGAACTGGGGCAGCGGGCACTGGGGGAGATCTGACCCCAGAGTGGTGCGAGCTCTCGGCCTTGGCCCCGGGGGGAGGTCTGCAGGATGCCTCCCCAGCCTCACTGAGGGATTAGCCCCACACTTGGCATTGCTCCTGTCCTGCAGGATGCCATGGAGCTGGGAAGCTGTGCGTCCTCCCAGAGACAGATGCTGGCCCCAGAGCACTGGACACCCCTGAGAAGGCTGGCCCACACTATGTCTCCACAGGTAACGACATAGGTAAGGAGAGAGCATGAAGGGTCCCACTGCCCCTCCCTGAGCTCTGTGCATCTCTTTACAATGGGCTTTGCTCCCACAGGCACCAGCACCCTCCCTGAGATACCTCCCTGAAACATAGGATTGCCTCTTCGCCTTTTCCTTCCTGCTTGTGCTCCTCCACAAGACCTGTCAGCAAGGGCAACAGCCATGTCCCATGAACTGGCAAAAGGGGAAACTGAGACACATAGGTACTGACCCACCAGCATCTCCCTCAACATGCCACATGGGGGGTTTCTGGGAATTCTCTGTTGCTTAACTCATGGTGGAGCTGTCACCTCCATTGCACAAGCACTGCTTCGTGTCCTAGTGATGTGCCAGTTCCTACAAGCCCTGAGACAGCTCCTGTTACAACCCAAGCCTCTCTGCCCAAATCATGGAAGGAAAAGGGAGTGCTCAAGCCATGTGCGGACCATACAAAGTACCCAGCCCTGGGTTGTGAGGGTGCTCCCTGCACGTGGCAGGCCGGTCTTGGCTGTGCCCAGGGGACGAAGGGTGACTGCAGGGAACTATGCCCATGCCTCCAAGAGCAGCATGAGCGAGAGTGCGTGTTAGAGTCAGCCAAGGCAGCACAGAGCAGCACTGATGGACAGAGACCATGCAGAGCCAGTCAATAGGCCATAGGATCATGGATCAGAGGGCTATAGGTTAATCCAGGTTAGGAGGACCTGCAGGTCTCAGGTGCAACCTCCTGCTCAAAGCAGGGTCAGATAGCACAGAGCCACAGAAGTGCTGGTGGAAGCAGCCTCCACAGGGCCCCACCTCCCACTCAAAGCAGGAAAAGCCCTAACATCAGGTCATCACAGTCAAGGCTTTCTCTAGATGAGGCTTGAAACCTCCCAACAACAGAGATCCCCAACCTCTAGGGACCCATCCTAGGTCTGCACCACCCTTCTGGGCAAAGAGTTTCTCCCACTGTCCTGCCTGAGCCTCCCAAGTTGCAGCTTGTGGCCGTTGCCCCTTGTTCTATCGTCTGCCAGTGCCAGAGGAGCCTGGTTTCACCACCTCCGGAGGGGCCCTTCCGGCAGCTGCAGGCTCTGTTAGACCCCTCTCAGCTTCCTCTTCACTGCACTTCACCTGCTATCTGCTGTAACTATCAATCAGGCCCTTTCCTGCAGCTCCACTACTCAGGCTGGTCCCAGCCCAGCCCAGCCTCACACAAATGGTTTTCCTGTTCCGGGTGCAGGACTTTGCACTTCTCCTGGTTAAACCTCACGAGGACTCTCGTGGCCTGATCTTGTTCCCCATCACTCTCGTGCCTGTATCCAAGGCTAAATGCAGACATGAGACTGATTGGCAACATGTCCCAAAGGAGAAGCTGAAATAAAATGCGATGGAAGATGTCATGATGGCATGCAACATGCCAAGCAACTCTCGGTATAGTGTGATATTATTTAACTTCCAACCGTCTCTGTAAAAACTGCAGCCGTTTATCTGCTATTCTGAGAGACTCAGCCAGACGGATTATTTTGTCGAAGCAGTTGTAGGCAGCAGTGTGTTTCTAAATGTAGGATGCTCCGTCCCTCCAGGATCAGGGAAGAGTGAAACACAGTGCATGGGCGCCCTCGCACACAGCCTGCTCTCGGCTGCATGCAAGAAGAGCCTGGAGGTGTCAGGCACATCCTTTTCACACTGCTGCGTAAGTCTGGTGCTTGTACAGGCACTGACCAGTACCCACGGCAGGTAGTGGGCAGCAAGCCAAGAAAAGGTGGTGGCTGTCACCTCCCTCAAAGGATTCCCAGCAACACTGCATGCCTGCCTCCTGCTTCTGCTTAAATGCCAGGGAGATCTATCTTGGGGGAAACCACCCACAGCCACGCTAAGGAGGTACTGAGAGGGGAAATGGAGCTGGAACCGCACCCTGCCACTGTTTCTTTAATTCACCAGCAGGGACAGTGAGTGAGGCCCTTGGATCTGCTGGGGGCTAAGCCCGTCCACCCCCTCCTCACCAAATCCAGTGCAAAGCAGAGCTGCTGCACTGGTCATCCTTCCAGCAGTAGGACCAAGAACAGACCCACCCACACTGCCAGGAAGGCCCCAGTGAGCTTGGTCAACTGGCCAAACTTACCTACAAAAAAAGCACTAAATCTGGCGGCTGTTGTCTCTGTGGCTGGCTTGACCACCTCTTCTGCTTCACAGCTGGAGCTGAAGCTCTCAGACTTCACCTCATGCAGGAGGATGGTGGCAGATGCTCTGCCAAGTGACATCGGCTTGTCCACATCTTTGCTGGAGCCAGCTGTGCCTTTGGCCACAACCTCTATGAACATATCTGTCTCCAAAGAGAAGGTTTCAGCGTTGCTTGGTTTGTTGCCCATCACTGGAGACTCGAGGTGCACGGGTGTCTGGTTCTCCATGTACTCCATGTCTGGCTGGAGCAAAGACCACCAAGCTGAGTTGGGGCCAAGCTTGGGCAAAGCCCTGGCAGGTAAATCTCTGGATACAAACTCGGGCTGGGTAAGTGCTGGGCTCCAGCAGGGGTAGTGGGCATGTGTGTCCTTGGGGTGGCTGTCAGCGTGGTGCAAAAGCTCAGGCACAAATTTGGTTTGGGTGCATTTGTCCTTTGCAAGAGGCTGTGACCTAGCGGAACATGCCAGTGCTGGGCGGAGCGAGCTCCGGTGGGACGAGTCCACCTCCATGGACCCTATGGCTCTCTGCATCCTCTCTGCTGCTTGATGGAATGCACAGCGGTACTCGGACTCATCCTCTGGATGGGTTGCAGCTCTGTATATCGATGAACCCCCAGCACTAGGGTCTGGAGGGGCCAAGGTGGTTGCTGTGGGCTGTGGTGAGAGCAAGGCGGCAGGGGACGTGATGCCGGCCGTGGGGGAACATGGCTCAAGGGGGGATGTGGCCCCATGGGAAAGGCCCCCAGTTTGGTGCAGCCTGCACCGGTAGCTGGAGTTGCTCACAGAGTGCTGCATGGGGTGATAGAGGGGACTTGTGCCAGTGGCAGGGGCAGGGTTGGGACGCACAGCCATGTTGGGGCGTACCGGGCCGTGGGGCCCCGGTGGGGATGGAGAGCATCTGGGGGCTGCTGCAGCAGCCTGGCACGCAGCACGCCGGTTGCGTTCGGAGCGCTGGGCAGCTTTGGGGACCAAGTGGACCGCTGGCAGCTGGGTTCCCACGTTGGCCCTGGGGGGTGAAGAAACCTCTGCAACGGGCTCGGTCTGGGTTGCCTGCTCCTTGGGGTTGATGACAGTCTTGTGGGGCCGCCGGATCCGCAGCTGGGCTGAGTCACTGGGCACCGTGGCAGTCCCCCCTGGGGCTGGCTCAGTGCCCTGCAGAGCAGAGCTCCTGGTCCCTGACTTGATCTGGGACAACTCGCTCTTCTGCATGCCCGCTGGCTGGCCGGCACTCCTGCCCTCCAGGGCCAGGGGTTCCCGACCTGGTCTGGTCTCTGGCCGGCTGCTGGCTCTCCTCTGGCTTTCTGCCTGCTGGGCATTAAGGGTCTTCTGCAGAGCCACCAGTAAGTGGCTGGATGTCACTGCAAGCCTTCCTGGCTGCATCAGGCACTTCCCGCTTCTCAGCTCCATTATCGTGTGAGGTGAGAGACTTCGGGAGATCTCTGCGCCTCCTGGGGATGGGGGGCTCTGGGGTTGCTCACTCCCTTGCTGGGGTGATGGGGTCCGGGATGTCTCCCAGCCTTGTTGGCACGAAGGACTCTCAGGTCGCTCACTGCCGCGCTGGAGTGATGGAACCTGGCCTTGCTGCGGTGAGGGGCTCTTGGGGGCCTTGCTGCTGTGCTGAGGGACTGCCGTGGGCAGAGCTTTGCTCCCTCGTTGGGCTGAGGTGGACCGTTGGGTCTTGTTCACCTGCCGGAGCAGGGGGATTGGGGCCATCTCGCTGCCCTGCCAGACCAAGGCGCTCACAGAGCCAACCTTCGCTGCTGCTGGACCAAAATCATTCCCTCTCTGGGTAGAGCACATCCGTGATGCCCCTGTTGCTGGCTTCTGGGGGTCTGACGTCCCTACAGAGGTGTCTGCCTGGAAAAGCCTCCCTGCAAAGCCACCCTGAGCAAAGAACTCCTGATATGGAGATGATGTCACCAGGGACATTGTGATGTCACAGTACTGGCATCATGCTGGGAACAGGGTTCCTTCTAAGGAGTGATTGGGGGCATGTGGTAAGCTAAAGGGACTGCCTTGGGGAGTGCAGCCCTGCTCGCGTTCAGCTCCTGTTTGGCCAGGTCAGATGGCCCTCAGTCTGGCCAGGAATGGCATTCAGCTGCTCCTAAAGGGCCCTCATGGAGCTGGACCCTGCTGTTGTGGGATTCCCCCCAGGATCCAAGCCCACAGGGAGCTGCTCCGCAGGCCAGGCCAGGGCTGCTGCAAGGAGCCCCTTCTGTTGCTCCTCTGACTCTTTTTCCCAGCCACTTTCTCAATCAGAGGGACATCCTGGAAGACCTGCCTGGCTTTGGGCTGGTTGTACCTTGCTGCTGCCAGACTTAGGTAGCCTCCCTACTGTCTCCAGGTGGATGAGGCACCCCCTTAGTTGTAAAGCAGCCAAGTGCTGGTGGAAGCAGCCTCCACAGGGCCCCACCTCCCACTCAAAGCAGGAAAAGCCCTAACATCAGGTCATCACAGTCAAGGCTTTCTCTAGATGAGGCTTGAAACCTCCCAACAACAGAGATCCCCAACCTCTAGGGACCCATCCTAGGTCTGCACCACCCTTCTGGGCAAAGAGTTTCTCCCACTGTCCTGCCTGAGCCTCCCAAGTTGCAGCTTGTGGCCGTTGCCCCTTGTTCTATCGTCTGCCAGTGCCAGAGGAGCTTGGTTCCACCACCTCTGGAGGTGCCCTTCAGGCAGCTGCAGGCTCTGTTAGACCCCTTTCACCTCCTGGCTAGCCTAAACCAGCCCCACTCCCTCCCTGTCTCTGTCTAGGCCCCAACCACTTTGGCAGCAAGGTTTTACAGGCTCACTAAAAGCCAACTTCAAGGGCAGCCCTCTGGGACACAGGCCCAACTTCTCAAGTTGGTGCCAACAGATAGTAAGTTTTTTTTAAAGATGAGTCTCACTAGGGAGAGTGTAACATGGAAGCAGCCATACCTGCTGGCTTTGCTACCCTCCATCCTCCCCAGATAAGGGCCAAAGCCAAACAAAAGTCCCTCTGTTAGCTTTTGGAAGGCAACAAGGACACAGGGATGTAGAGGCCACCATTGTGTCATGCACTGGCCACCTCATTGTCCCTAGATCATCTGCAGAAAGCATGTTACCAACCCATGCACATAGTCACTTTGTTTTATATTCATGCCAAGCATCTAGGCGCCTTGATTTCAGACATGCTTGGCTGCACAGCTTCTCCTCACTGCCCTCGGCCACGCAGCTCCACCATCTGTCTTTCCCCACACTGCACCTGCTGAAATCAGAGCACCAAAGCCCAGGTGGGGAGAGCAGGCCAATGATGGATACAGCTCCAGGTAGCGAGGGCTTATCCATGCCACAGGACTGGCCCTGCTGACGTGAACAGGAGCTGCTTTGAGGAAACCCTTGGCTCATGCTGGGCTGCTCACGGTGGCTGTGACGCTCCGTGTTGTCCTGCAGCCCCATCCCACTGAGCTGGAATCCACAAGCCCCACTGCTGGGGGAAGGTGTGCTGCGT